GTGCGAATTCCGCGAGTGGCAACTGCTTTGCCCAATCATCCTGCCTGTGGCTGGTGAACGCACGCAGGTACTGCTCGATCTCCTGGTTCCAGCGCTCAGTCTGGCCATCTGTCTGGGGATGGAACACTGTGGACAGCGCTGGCTTGATTCCCAGACCCTTGTACACCACATGGAGATACTTTGAAGCAAACTGGGGACCTCGGTCTGATATGACCTTGGCTGGGGCCCCATGATGCTTGAATACGTCGCGGATGTACAGGTCTGCCGCACCTTCTGCCGTCAGAGTCTCATGACAGGCCAAGAAGTGGACCTGCTTTGTGAAGCGGTCGGCGGTAACCAGGATCGAGTCGAATCCATCAGACTTTGGCAGGCCGACGATCATATCGGTCGTGATGATCTGCCACGGGCACTCGGGGATCTCGTTTGGCTTCAGCGGACCCTGGGGTTTGGCTGGGAATGTCTTGGTACGGTTGCACACGTCACAGGTGCTTACGTACTCATTGACGAATTTGGACATTCCTGGCCACCAGTAGTTCCGCGATACGAGCTCTAGGGTTTTGGCACGGCTGCCATGACCGGCGATCGGCGAGTCGTGGTGGATCTTGACTATGTCCTGCCGGAGCTCCACGTTCTTTGGGATGTACATGCACCCACGGAACAACAGTAGCCCTTGTTCGGCATTCCACTCCTCAAAACCCCTTTGCAGTCAGGGCGGCCTGAGGTCCTGTACCTTTTCAAGTGCCTCAGCCACCTCCCGATCCTTCTCCGAACACTCCCGAATGCGCTTCAGAAGCGACTGATCGGCCGTCACCGAGGCATGACCGCGTCTGGCGGAGGCGATGCGGAAGCGCTCCGGCTTGAGAACCACCTGATTGGTGTTATCCTCCTCATCGCCGATTTGATGGTCTGATCGATGCAATAGGGCATCAGCCTTTCCATTCAACGCTCCGGCCTTGTGCATGATGCGGAAGTCGAAGCGAGCCAGGAATAGCGACCATCGCGCTTGACGACGCGTGAGGTGCTGGGACGTGCGCCAATATTCGAGGTTTTTATGATCGGTTACGATCTCGAACTGATTGGGTAACCCCTCGAGATAGTGGCGCCAATCGTCTAGCGCCTCAATGATCGCGAGCATCTCCTTATCGTAGATCTCGTAGTTCCGCTACGCTGGATCCATTGCATGGGATCTGAAGGCGATGGGATGCCATTTGCCGTCATCCTGCTTCTGCATCAATACGCCGCCCGTGGCATAGCCCGAGGCATCAACCTCAATGGGCATCTCCCGATTAGGATCGTACAGCGCCAAGACTGGAGTCGTCGCAAAGAGCCGTTTGAGCTCGTCAAAGGCGTGCTGTTCCTCTTCGCCCCAATGCCATGGGTTGTTCCCTGTGAGCCGGTCGAGTGGTCGCGAGATCTTAGCGAAGTCCTTGATGAAGCAGCGGTAGAAGTTGGAGAACCCCCGGAACTTCTGAACGTCTTTCTTGTTCCGGGGTACCGGCCACTCATTGATTCCTTTCAGCTTCACGGGATCCATCGCTACCTCATCGCCACCAAACACATAGCCGACATAGTCGACTTTGGGAATGTCCCATTCGCATTTCTCAGGCTTCAGGAACAGATCGTTGTCCTGAAGGCAGCGCAGAACCTCACGTGTGACCCTCTCATGTTCCTCCTTGTTGGTGGAGAAGATGAGTATATCGTCCAGGTACACGAGGATCTTGCCACCGACAATGAGATCATGGAAGATTTCGTTCATCATTGCCTGGAAGGTCGCGGGGGAATTGGTGAGACCGAAGAACATCACCAAGGGCTCGTACAACCCTCGGTTAGTCACAAAGGCCGCCTTCCATTCGTCACCGGCTTTGATCTGGACGTTGTTGTATCCCCATCAGACATCGAACTCGGTAAAGAGCGTAGCGCCGCGGAGCTTATCCACCATCTCAGCGATCAACGGTAAAGGGTAACGATTCTTGACCGTGACCGCATTCAATCGGCGGTAGTCCTGTACGGGTCGAAGCGTCCCTTCCTTCTTTTTGATGAAGAAAAAGGGGGATGAGATTGGCGACTTCGACTCCCGTATGTAGCCCTTCACTAATTGCTCCTGTAGGAACTTGTCCAGTTCCTCTTGCTCGTTGCTCGACAATGGGTATACCTTCGAATGGAACGTGGAGTAGCCGGGCACGAGTTCGATCGCGTGATCGTATGGCTTCCTTTCGGGTAGCCGTTCTGATGCTTCCTTCGAGAAGACCTTCAGAAACTCGTGGTACTGTTTGGGTACCGACTCCTCGGCGGTTTTGACGACCTTCTTCTTGACCTCTTCCTCAGCGAACAGCTGGGAATACGTGTGCCCTGCTGCAACGAACAGCTGAGGGGTGCCAGGAAGCGTGATACCCTGCTCCCAGGCTTTGATCAAGTCAGCCTCATCCCATTCTACTTCCACCGAATCTTCTTTGGGTTCGAAGTCCGGGAGCACCATGCTCCGGCAGGCACCTATGAACGACTGTTTGGACTTCGGCGAACGTCTGTGCGCTGTGGGCCTGTCCCCCGTATCACGCGCAGTCGTTGCTTGCTCCATTCGGCCAGTCCTCCTGGCACTGCACGTTTCAGGGCATCGTGACAGCTTTAGGGAGCCTGACTCCCAATCGATCTCGGGGTTGTGTTCGCATAGCCAATCCAACCCAACGATCACATCCTCTGGACCTATGTCCGTGACCGTGAACACCGTCTTCTCGACGTGTTTTCCTATGTGCATCTGTAGCACTGCTACTTCCGAGATGCTTCCGTCTTTGTTCAGGGTGCCGTCGATATTGTATAGCGGAATCGGCTCTTTCAACTTCCGCGTTTGCACCTTATTCTCGATAATGAATCGCTTGTTGATGAACGTCGTGGTGGCTCCGCTGTCCACCATAGCGATTATGTCTTTGTGCCGTCTTTTCCCTTGAAGTCGAACTGGGTTGTGAAAATGTTGGGACCCCTGGTCCAATTCGTACACCATTGCAGAAGACAATACATTATACTTATTACATGATGACACTCGCAGCCCGACGCGTGCGGCACGAAGCACGGACCAGATCAAAAACCCTCCTCCTTCATCGCCCGATAGTGCTTGAGCTCCTCGCGCATCGACTTCACCTGTGCCATTAAGTCCGCCAGCTCCGATTGCTCAGATTTCGCTGAAGCAGCACTTATACTTGCCGAGGGTGTTGTCGTGACGGGGGCGCTTGTCGCAGCCTGGGTGGAGCCCAAGGCAACCGTAGCCTGTGCGTTGGCGCGTTTTGTGTAAGGCTTGTCCTTACAATTGGGGCATTCGAAGTGTCGGTACCCCTGCTTCCCACAGCCGAAACAACTGCCGGGGAAGTTTCCTTTTCCGACGGCCGCATTGATGCTGGCCGAAGCTGTGTGTGACGAGGGTGCACCACCACGTGCCCCTCCGTGTCCTCGACCTCGTGCCGAGAAGAAGTTGTTTAGCTCGGGCCGACGGGCCCGGCTGATGTCGAGGATCTGCTGGACCTCAGTGGCGCGCTTCTCAGCTGCTTGCCACGTGGTGAAGGTCTCGAGCTCGATCTTTCGGTACACGCGGGAGGGGATGCCACTCAGGTACTTGTCGCGTAGCTCCAGGTCTCCATACCCAGAGTGATCCACCGGACCCTTGAACAGCGCGGAGAATTCCGCGGCGGTGCGTTTTTCATGGACCAACTTGTCCGCGCAGAGCTTTGCCAGCTCTACTTGTGCTGCCGCCTCATCGTCGAGATTTCCGAAGCGGGCCCGGAAGGCGGTGGCAAAGGCCGCTTTGTTCGCGAATGGGGTCGTGGCCCCTTGTACCCCTATCTGCACCGACACGAGCTGGGCGAAGTAGGGAGTGGCCCAGGCGTGGGCATCTCCATCGAGCAGGCTAAGTGCGACCTGCACCTTGAGTTCGATGGTGGTCAATGACGTGTTGATCAGCCAGTAGATGCGCAGCTGCGACAGGAACCGGTTGCACTCGATGACGGTCTTGCCATCGTAGCGAAGCGGGAGGAGGAGCTTCAACGTCTCCTTATCAGGGACGGCAGCGGGAGAGGACATTATCGGTGACGAGGGGGACGAAGGACTGCCCGCAGACGAAGGCGACTGTTGTGACTGTCCGCCGGGCGGACTTCTCGGGGAATGAGTGCTTGAGCGGCCTCGCGGCGGCGACGGCGGTGAAGTCGGTTGAGGAAGCCCGGAGGCGGGGTCACGTAGGACAGGGACTGGAGTCGAGGCGGTGACCGCTGACGACGAGCTGGTCCAAGAATGCGGCGGAGTGTCGCGGGGCTCGGTCTTGGGAGGCCTTTCCAGCCGCGGCCCCAGGGAGGGCTGGGGGATCGCTTGAGGGGTCGCTGAAGGCTGTGCGACTGCCTCAGTTCCTCGAGGGAGATGGGGATCTCCTCGCGCTTGACCTGTACCAGCGACAGGTTGGGGGATGCGGGGTGCCTGGGGAGGCAGGTCGGGAT